TACAAGATGCAGACTTGTGATCCTATTTACAAACACCATTAGAACAAATCATTCTATTCATTAAGAGAATGCAACTATATATCTATTCCAACCACTTTGAATACTATAATTCTCTTTTAAAACAAACAAACAAAAAAAAAGGGCCAGAGTTCAATCGCTGGTTCCACCAAAAAAAAAAAAAAGAAGAAAATTATCCCCAAAAATAAAAAATAAAAAAGAGAATTATCCATTTATTCTTTGCTTTGTCAATTACGCAGGCTGAGTACTTTGCTTTTTGGTGACCAGTCAAAGAGACCAAATCCCATCTGACTGTTATAGGCAGCTAAATTAGATAGAAATATTATAGGCATTCAGACAGGGCCAGGCCCTCAAGGAGACAACATGGAAGACAAGGTGACTTTGCACCTTGGAAGAGATCAACACACTCTCCTATGGGCCAGACATCAAGACAAAAGAGGAAACAAAGACAGCTACATACTGCCCTAGGGATGGGCATCAGGGATTGGTATTCTAAACAGGTATTTCAATCACCTTGAAAGAGCCCAAATGAGTCACTAACCCAACTCCAAACAGGAAGAGACCCTGTCCCGTATTTATGCCCGCTTGCTAGTCTCACTTCCCCATTTGGTACCGGATTTAATCAGTTTTACACGAGCAATGGTGCTTGTAATCTCACTGGTTGACCAGTTTTGTCCCACCTCATGCTCACGTAAGCAAGTTCCCATGTTCTCCACCACCTGAGACCTGCCTCACCACATGGTTTTACACTATAAAAGTCCCTGGAAGGGGCAGCTTCCTGGGGAAAACCCACTTGGGGCCCCCTTCTGTCCCTCTCTCAGACAGGAGCTTTCTTTCCCTGGATAAATATATTCTGCTCATAACCTCCATTTGTTCCTAAAATTCATTCTTCAGTTTTAGAGAACACGAACGTGTCCCAGGTACCTTTCAAGTCAGGAGTCACTTTTCCCCTATATCATTTGGAGGTCATCCACCCTGATTAGTTTTCCCCTATATCAAATCCTCCTACACTTCCTTGGCTTCAGTGCTGGCTGGGGTAACTGCAGCAGCAGGAGCAGCAGCCACAAATGCAGATGAATCAACCAAGAAGGCCTGACCTTTGCAGTAAGTGGGAAGGTGCTATCAGTCTCACAGAAAAAGCCAGGATTCTCTTGCACCCATTTGTGATAGAATGGGGCACTGGTGCAATAGTTGGGCAACCAGTCTGCAGACACTGGCCACATTGCAGACACCCTCCAGAAAGCGAGAATGAAGTTTTCTCTGTAATGTCAAGCACTTGAGGTTTGTAGATGCTGTCACTGTCAAACCCTTGCTGAAGGATCAGCCCAAAGGGGAATGGGGAGATGTTCAACATGCTCAGGAGGGTGGCCTCGCTGGATCCCACTTTGGGTTCTCTTAATCAGCTGCACATTGCTCAGGATTTCAATGGTGCCCCTGGAGATTTTAATGATGATGCCAGATCCTGGAAGGTCTTCTCGGGCCCCAGACCTGGATTCTGGGCTGGCTCAGTAACTTCACATGGTGCAAAGGCACCTGCTCGGGGAGTAGCTGGTTTTTTAAATTTTCTTTTCTTTTTCTCCTGGTCCTGGGGGTCAAACTCAGGACCTTGCGCTTGCCAGGCAGGTGCTTATGCTGCTGAGCTCTCTCCCTGGCCCCAGCTGGCAGCTTATTGGCCAGCAGCATACCCCTGATCCCAGTAAGGTTCTCCTTGGTGAACACATAGCCCATATCACTCTGGATATGAGGCAATAGTTTGCCCAGAGCAGGACTGTTTTCCATTAGTCCTCAGATGGTCTTGTGTATCACGGCATTGTTGCCTATTGGCACAACTTTCTCTCAGAGAACATTTGAATCTGCTGCATGTCACAGGACCAATGTCTGCTCGCACAAGGAAGCATTGTGGATAATCACCCAAAAGTTGGATGATCTTTAGGAAGCAGTTAGAGTTCTAGGTTGCTGTGCCTTCCCTGGGCACCACAGCAGTGCATCAGGGATTGCCATGGAGGTTTAAACATGCTGCCACTCTTTCTCAACTCTTTTCATTGACACATGCAGAATGAATTACATGTCATGTTGCCATTACACAAGCCTGATTGTCTCTACCACCACCCCAATGTTACACTTAAATCTCTTCAGGGGCCAGGCAAATAGCTCAGCATATTAAAGCACCAGCAAGCAGGCACAGGGACAAGGGGTTCTATCCCTGGGCCTACCGGCCCCAACTACACTGAGATGGCAATTAAGACTGGGCGTGAGGCCCATGAGGGCCGGGGAGATGGCTCAGTAGAATAAGCACTTCCCTGGCAAGCGCAAAGGTCTGAGTTCAATCCCCCATTGGGGGGGGGGGGGAGACTAGGTGTGGTGGCACCTGCCTGTAATCCATCCCTTTGAATTCTCCCTTAGCTAGGCGTGGCGATGTACTCCTCTAATGCCAGCACTTAGGAGCTGATGATCACTGAATTTGAGGCCAGCCTAGATTTGAGCTCACTATCCTAGGCGAGACTCCAAATTGAGAGGCATCAACCTCCTGAGTGCTGGCATTACAAAAGTGCACTACCATACCTGGCTTCTTTGTAAAAATTTTACAATTTTTTGTGTTGACATTTTAGTACATGTATAGAACTTATAATTAGAGCACGAACTGCCATATCCATTCGTTCTTGACATTCATCACTTCATTGGAAATACATATGCTTTTGTTGTGAAATGCTTAGATGCTCTCAACCAGTTACTCCACTGTGCCCCATACTGATCAGCCTGCTCCCATTGACTTTTTTCAGAACCGGGGATTGAACTCAGGTCCTTGTGTTTGCCAGGGAAGCACTTATTCTATTGAGCCATCTCCCCGGCCCTCAGCCTGCTCCCATTGAAAGCATGTTTCCCCAAGATGCTCTAGCCATGTCCTGGAGCAGTTGTTTCAATGCTTCCTCCCATCTCAAGATCGTGGGTGGTACAGGGCTTAGAGCCCTATTTTCCAGTAAGCCTGGCCATCTTCCACAATGCTAGTGGAGATTTCTCCCTGGGTGTGGCTGTTTTCCCAGAGGTCAAGGAATTTTTCCTTTCAGGGAAGTCTGGCTCAGGCTGGGCTCAAAGCAAACTCACTGGTGATCCTCAGCACACCCTGCATTATTTATCACACATTCATCCTGACTCCCAAGTGCAAACTACAGAAGTTAACTTCTTGCAGTCACAGGTCCTCCCCCCTGAATGAGCCCTGTACCCAACCAGGCCAAGCACAGAAGCGTACACCTTGTTAAGAGCAATTATCTCCATTCTTATACAGTCATGGATGCCACACAGCAGAGGCTAGGGTAGGCCAGGTGCCACCAGAGCAAAGGCACTTGGCAAGCCCAGGCCTTGGCACAGCCTAATATCCACAAAGCACCCAGTGGTTGAGTCTTGATCAGGACAGTCCTACTGGCTGGGTTTTGGCCTTTTATTTATTCCTTTTCCACTCCTTGAAATTATGCATACTTTGAACCCATGCCTAAAACCCACTAGAGAAGGCTCTTAAAAACCCAGGACTCTAAAGATGAACCCAAACTCTTGATGAACATGTTGGTGTTCTAAGGGCTCTAGCCAAAATTAGCAAAGGTTTTAGGCCTCTCAGCTTTAAAGTCCTTGTAGATAATCCCTACTCCAGCAAAACTTGAATCTGTTAAACTACATTATGACTGTATTTACCAAAACCTCACCACAAAAAAATTGGCACCGCGGAACAACGCTTGCCTGGCAGGCACAAGGACCCAAGTTCAATCTCTGGTTCCACCAAAAAAAAAAAAAGAAAAAAATTTGCATTAATACTATCAAAAACTTTATCCTGGGGCCAGGGAGATGGCTCAGTGGTCTAAAGCACCTACTTAGAACAAGCTTAGCTAAAGCACAGGGACCATGGTTCAATCCCGCAGCACCACATGCCAGCCAGCCCCGCCCCCTGGTGGGCTGAGCTGGCCACACACGTGCACACACACATAAAATTAAAAAAAAAAAAAAATAGAAAGGCAACGAAAGGACTATGTACATTAGTGGTAAAGTACTTGCCCAACAACTGGGAAGTGCTGTGTTCAATCCCCAGGCCAAGAAAAAAAAAAAGGGATTGACATGTCCTCACATTGTACTAAGTATGGTACAGAGACACCACACTCACGTGATCAAATAAAGGCAGCACAATGGGATCAAGTATAGATGCCTCAAGTACTTCACAATTTCTGCCCTCGAAGTCTATAGTTAAAATGGCAAGACTGACCACATCTTTACCAACTTCCTTGAATACCTACAAGTCAAAATCTCAAATACTTCTAGGAATCAACACCAAAGACCATCCTTTATTGTAACAGTAGGCAGTAACATCTGCAAGTATACATTTATCTTAAGACACAGATGCTCCTGTTTGTTGGGTAGGTTAATTAAAAACACTCAATGCATGCTTGTCCTAGAAAAAAATGCCAGATACATCAGTTCTCTTGAGAAGGCCTCTGATACAGGAGGGAAACAGCTTGTTTCTTCTGTAGCAAATGATCCAGTCACAGAAATTCTCAAACACAATCAGTGGCAGCTTCCAGCCCTCTGCCTGCAAAGAAACTTAAGTGTTAGAACCATTATCTGCTCCCAGAAGCAGTCACTCAAATCATAAAGGTATATTGATATCTTCAGAAAACCGTAGGTTCACCACTACCAATCTGCCGGTAATTCCAGCTAGTTTTGGTGATTTCATCATTCGATACCCTCAAAACCAATTTTGGCAAGCAGCTGAAGCTTGGTCCTCCAAGATAAATCACTGTGCAGGTCAAGGCTTACCTCCTCCTGGGCTGTGCTGCTGCCAGCTCTAGAACTGCACTCCAGTGCTGTCCCCAAACCTGGGGACACAGGGTAAGGCTCCAGAGCAGGAAATGCACGAGAGCGTCCGCCATGTCTACAAGTGTAGAAGACCATTCTATTAACACTGTCCCTTAGAGCCTTACAGAAGGGAAACTTTCATCAATTACTAAATCTACAAACCCCAAATAACTTTCCTAGTGTTAAAATCTCTAAGGGCTGGGGAGATAGTTCAGTAGAATAAGCGCTTGCCTAGCAAGCACAAGATCTGGAGTTCAATCCCCAGTTCTGAAAAAAAAAAAAAAAAAAAAACTCTACTTAATAGTGCATCTTCAAAGTCACTAGCCTGTTTTTAATTGTCTAAAGAGGAGCTAGGGAGGAGCCAGGGGGATGGCTCAGTGCAATAAGTGCTTCCCTGGCAAGTGCCAAGGGCCTGAGTTCAATCCCCGGTTCCACAAAAAAAATAAAGTACACATGCTACAAAACGTCACCAAATAGGAATTCGACAATGGTTGCTGCATTGCATGTTGTCTTCCAATTAGTTATTCAGATTAACAGATATATAGTCAAGGCCTACATTCACAAATACTATGGTAATCAAATGAAATTGCCAGTATCTGACCAAACAGCTGGGCATTCTCAACCACCACCAATCTCTGTAGAGACCAAAGCTTACCTGACCCAAGGCCAACACACTCCAACAGGCTTGGAGCAGAAGTTGGTGGGTGGTACCTCTGTACACAGGCCTCACAGGTGACTCAAGACATCTGTAACACTAAGCTTCTGCCACTCGGCAACCTGCATGAAGGTAGAAAGGTTGTCACAGTTCAGACCAACTTAATCCTGAGCAGCAACAGCATCTGGTGCACTGGGTGACTGCAGTCAGCCAGGAGCACTTTCGTCAGTTATCGCTTCTGATGGCACTTCCTGTGATTAGTGGGATCATCAGAGATGTCAACACACCTCATCACTGTCCAGTACTCCTTCAACTGGACATTATCTGAGAACAAACTACAAGTGGAAGATGTAGCTCAGCATCTAGGTGCTGAGGGTTTGAGCCTTAGTATATGTATGCCCTCAAAATGAACCCCAAAACCACTGCACAGCTCATTTATGCAAATGACTTAGTTCATACGTGTATGTGTATACAAGAACACATGTGGGGGTGGGGAGATAGCTCAGTGGAATAAGCACTTGCTGGCAAGTGCAAGGGCCTGAGTTCAACCCCCAGTTTGGGGGGTAAACAAAAGAAAAAAACAAACAAGAACACATACATGTGCTCTTGCTGTACTGGGAACTGAACCCAGGGCCTCCTGCACCCCAAGCAAGCTCCTTTATCACTTAACTACATCTGATTAAAAAAGGCACACCTAATGCAGTTCTGTGTTACAAAAGACTGTAGCTTAAACAGCCATCTCTGAGCCAGGGAGTTGGTCTCCGGGTAAAGGAGATGGCTCAGTAGTTTATGTGCTTCCCTGGAAAGCACAAGGGTGAGTTCAATCACCGGTTCCGCCCCCCCACCAAAAAAAAAAAAAATTTAAACAGCCATCTCCAGTTTCTACATCACTGCAAAGACACGGCGGTGCAGACAAAAGGGCCTGCTTAGGCAGAGCACAGCAGCCAGGTTTCCTCACTAACCTGCTGTGCAGGCCCGACCCCACATGGGGTGGGAGAAGGTGATCTGAGACTGGGCGAGGTGGTGAGCGCCGTTGGAAAGCTGAAAACAAGAGAATCACACTGAGTTTGATCTATGTAGTGAGACCTTGTACCAAATGCATAAAAAAACTGTAATGTAACGTTTAAACTACAACTAAAACATCCACTTCACTGCATCTCAGGTAACTAAATTACAGCTAAGTCACTCTCTTAGGCTGCCAGAAATCGAACCCAGGGCCTCCAGTGTGCAAACCTCTTAACGCTGACCTACATCTGCATCCCCCAAAGTCACATATTAAACGCACCTGACTTCACGGTGGGATGCTGTTCTCATCGCCAATATTCTGCACTGAGGCCAACATCTGAAAGATGAAGAAAAATAACTCGGGAGTTGAATCTGGCAGTAACGTTCAACTACTCTGTTGAGGCTTTAGCGACTGTAATCAGATCAGGTATAAATATCGTCAGTTATCGCTTCTGACGGCACTTCCTATTACTCGTTCTCATCACAACAGTCGCGTGACTTCCTCGTGGTCCCATTACAATCCGTCTGCCGACAGCGCCCCTGCGTATTCCCAGCTACAGGCAGGCGTCCCCAACCTACCCAGCTTTTCAGGTTGGCGGACTCCTCGTGCAGGCGCGGCAACAGGATGCTGCTTTCCGAAAGCCCACACTCCTGCGGCGACGGCCCTGCCGAAAAACGTGCGGTCCCTGAGGCTCAACTCGCAGCACTCTGCACTGCGTGGCCTGGCCCTACCATAATCTGTAACGCCGGCCCGACCCGCCCAACCTCCCCACCCCCCTTTAGCTAACTTTCTCCAAAGACACCTTTGAAAAGTAGAAAAAAATTCTAGCCCTTCACTGCCCAGGGCACCACCCTGTAGCAACAAACACAGACAAACCTACCGGCATGATCACTGTAGTGAAAAGGTCGTACCTTCCCTCACAGGCAGCTTATAAAGAGCCGGAATAGCCCATAGCTCACATAAGAGAGGTAGTATCTACCAGACTCGGAACTTCCCATCCAGGCCTCAACCGAATTCTCCCCCCGTCCTCCTGAGCTTGTGGTCTCTTCCACATCGATGAGAATTCTGGGTAACGAAGTGCCCAGCTAATTCTAAGGCGCCTGCGCCAGGACTTGTGTGTGTATTTCAAAATTGAGGTCCTCGGGCTTAGGGTTCGGATTGCTGGTTTGGAAAACGGGGCACCTATGGCCCAGAAAGTAATTGTGAGTACCACAAGAGACAGTGTATGTGAAATGCAAACCCTGGATACTCAGCAAGCTTCCCGAAATTCAAGTTTCCTGAAATTCAGCTCCTAAATTGAGTCGGGATCCTCTGCTGGCTCCCCAGAACTGTTTAAAAATTTGCCGGGAACCCCTCTGACCCCTGTGCACTGATACCCTTCATTGTTTCCTTACACTGCCTTGAAAGTTGTCTGCATCCACTTTCAGCCCCTCTTCCTGTCTTCTGACAGTATCATGTTTCTCTCTACCCCCATCCCCCCCTTCCCCAGACTTCTCCGTAAACCCCCATATCTTATTTACAAATCAGAACTCCATCCCTGCCGATGGTTTCCTTTCAGTATATGAACAAATTCAGGTTTCACCTCTCATTTTTTTCTCCTATTATTTTTTTTTAAAATACTTATCTTAGACTGACATGGTGGCCCACACCTGTAATCCCAGCGTCCTGGGAATTAGGAGTAGGAGAATAGCAATTTGGAACCCAGCAGTTCAAGGAGACCCAGTTTCAAAAACTAAGGAAGTGTTGAGGAAAGTGAGAAAGCTCTGGGTTCAATCCCAGTGCAGTAAGGGCCGTCCAAATAGCTCAGTGGATTAAAGTGCCTACAAGCAGGCCCAGGAGCCCAGGCCTGCCGACCCCGACCCCAGGCACCCTGAGATGGCAATTAAGATTCGGTGTAAATGTATTATAAATTGAACTAAATTCAGAAATTTTAAAGTCTTTAAATATTTATTGCCTACTCCTTTCTACTTTGAGAATTCTAATTATATGCATGTAAGTTTCTTGGTGTTGACACAGTGAACTATTATGACTGATCTGTAAATTCTTCATTTTTATTTTGGACAGTTTTTATTGTTATATTCATTTATGTTTGTAAATAATTTTCAATTTGTAATCTATTAATTTT